AGCTTACCACCTCTTTCTGTTACCCTTTCATTAAAACAGTAGAGCACTGTCTAAATACTTACCAGTTCACTGACTGAATGTTGTATAGTGCTTTACAATTTATTAATGTGCTTTTAAATGTGTATTTTGTCTAATCCCCACATTACCCTTGTGTTATTGTTAATAGTATTTCACGGTAATGAAGTGGAAGATTAATGAGACCAGTGGACTTGTTCAAGATCCTGTAGTAGAGCTCAGGCCCCAGCCTGGTTCTCTAAGACGAGTCCTGTGTTCTCTCTCCTCCCGCAATGCTTCTCTGCATCCTTCACCGGAGCTCCCAGCCCCACCACCCAGCTCTGAAATAACCATTTGTTTGAACTAATTTCCACTTAAGTCTAAAGTAACTCTGTTATGCCTAACAGCCTCCAGGTACCATACTGACCTCTTCATGGGCATCTTTAGCCCAGAACATAGTCAGCAAGAGGATAAAAATAAATACATTAAGTAATACACTCAGAATTGGAATGTAAATGGGCACACACACAAGTCTTGGGATCTAATTTTAGAAAGAACCAGCAAAAAGTCCCACACAGTACAGTGAGCATCTGGTCCCGTGGGAGGCTACCCACACTGCTTCAAACCTCAATTAACCCAGGAAGAGGAGGCATCCTGGAATCCTGACTGGCATTTGGCTTTCAGAGGCACCATCTGGGTGAAGAACAGAATGACTTTTCATCATGTTCTCCCAGAAAAATGCTAAAACCAAGAATAAAAAAAAAAGGTCCATTCTCCAGGGAACTAAGCAGGCATTCCTGAAGGGCTGAAACTGTGAAAGGTCCCTCACACTCTGTGGCTCTGAAGTCACATGCTGCTAATACTGGACCTGGGAGACGTGAGACATGAGACAGGCAGTTGGGCTCTGCCTGTGACCATGTCCCAGGAGCCCAGGTATGGGGCTCACACTAGGGCTTTGAGGCCGGATCAAGTCATCCTAGGACACCCTGGTCCCTCAGAAGCCCACTCACCTGACCATTAACAATGACCTTGTGTAAAATTAAGTAGACTCTTTGTATTTCTAGCAAATGTTTAGTAGAAGTCCAATGTGGTAGGGGACATTGTCTCCTTTACTCATTGCCTAAAATGTCACTCTATAAAACAATAAACTTCTGTTGTCATTGTTGTGTGCCGTCAAGTCAGAACCGACCCACAGCTGACCCTTCGGCAGGTTTTCAGAGGCGGCTAATTGCACAGAAGAGACTGTCCATCCTTCTCTCACAGAGCAGCTGGTGGATTCAAACTGGGTGCCTCTGGGATTGCAGTGCAGCTTCTTACCGCTTTGTTGACTAAAGGAATCTACAATCTGTATTAGGCCATATCCTCTTAGACCATCTAGGACAGTCTAACGTGGCTAGAGGCCAAGAGGAGGATTCCATGAACCAGGTCATCTGCTTCTCTATTTTCTCTTTAGTGACATATATAACTGTATGTCGTTCAAGCTCCGCGAGATCCAGGATTGGGACTGGTACATCTCTTTCATCCTCCTCCTACATTATGGCATCATCTTGCATAACTCTATTCCCAATACCTTACAATCTGGCCACTATCCCCTATGCAGTTCTTCAGTAACTCAGTTTTGAATAGCCCTCATCACCTACTCAAAAGCTCTGGTGGCCCAAGGGTTAGAAGCTGTGCTGTAATCCCAAAGGCACATGGTTTGAATCCATAAGCTATTCTATCGGAGAAGGATGGTCATTCTCCACCCATGCAATTTACCGCCTCTGAAAACCCACTGGAGCGTGAGCTGAGTCCGTTCTGAATGGACAGCAAACAACATCACGTACTGTGTACTTCACCTGTCTCACTTTGTAGAGTCAACTGCAAAGTCTGTCCTGTGATAGACAAGGCAGTGCAGTGATTAGTGCCTTCCATTTCACGTTTTATCAGGAAGTCATACATGCAAATACAATCACGCATTGCTTACCGTCCACATTGCACGCTGGGAAACAGGATGCTAAGTGACTGGAACACTGTGAGAGCATGCCCAAGTCATAAGCACCAGTACTCACTGACTTTCCACCTCTCAGTTGTTCACTAACTTTTTGGTTACATTGTAAAGAAATACTTCTCCTTTCCCTCTTGGCTAGTGTAATCAAGAGAAGGAAAGGCAATCTCCTGTGTGATTAAACTGCCTCTGAAAACCCACTGGAGGGTCAGGTATGGGTCGGTTCCGATTCAATGGTACACAACAGCAGCAGCAGTGTTATCTCTAGGGAGCTCTGGTAGCCTAGTCCATAGGGAGTTAAGCTGCCAACCCAAAGGCAACATCTCTGATGGTTTGAAACCACGAGCAGTTCAAATCCACCAGCAGCTCTGTGGGAGAAAGATGGGCAATCTCCCTGCAGGGGATTCACAGTTTTTTAAAAACTACCAGTGGGTCAGTTGTGTGTCTGGTCCAAGCTGATGGCAATGAGCTAAGTGTGACCACTACAACTCACTTGTTTTGCTATATTTGAGAGTCCCAATAAACTTCAAGGTAGTATTTTCCAAAGAAAATGACATAGATAATCCTACAACACTTGAGAGACACAATATAGGGAATCAGATGGTGCTGCATCCATTTGAAAGTATATAGTAATAAGGTTAACTTTAATCTGTAAGAAGGGAAAATTCACATTAAAATAATGACAGAAAATACAGTATATACATAATCCGGTAACAGGCATTTATTATGACTGTCAAGACTTAGATGTTACATACATACTGGACCATTATATGTCTGACAGTGCCCACTTAGTGTACCAGATATCATATATGCATGTAGCACAGAAAAGTTGTGTTCACATCAGGTTATAGTAACTAATTGTGTTCTCTGAACAGGATTTCTGAACTCTTATAATCTTACAGGACCAGAGATTTGTATGCAATGTGGTCACATGTTGGTTGAACAGACGTTATGCACTACATGACTCTAATTAGGATACAATTAATAAGTATTTTAACAATATCAACAGACATAAAGGACAATCATCAGGCCAAATATAGTCCATAAAGGGTTTTAATTTATTAGTTGCTAACTCAACTTGGCTCAAAAACAACTAAAATTTTGCTTTCACATAAAAATTAAGATTACCAATATCTTTTGAAAACCCAGGACTGTACCGAAACTGGGTCAGTATTATCACAGCATTGCTCAGAGGTGGCTAATAACAGCTGGCCCCTACAGTTTCATGTAACTTGTACCCTTACCCTACACTCAACTGTCTGCCAGAGCAATGGGCCCAAAAGTAAGTTAGCTGTTTGTCTGAGTTGGTACAGAGTAGAAAAATTATTGTCTGTTATGCAACAGAGAGTTGGACAATGACTAGGGATGATAGAGACTCGATGCCTTTAAGCTGTGGTGCTGGAGAAGAGTGTTCAATATAACATGAACTGCCAGGAGAACAAACAGGTTCGATCTAGAGAGGTTGAAACCAAGATGCGCCTTGGAGGCAAGGATTATGAAGCTTCATCTAACATACTTTGAGCATGTTGTAAGGAGGTACCAGCCCTTTGAGAGGGACGTCATGCTCGGTAGGGTGGAGGGACAGGACAGGAGAAGAAGACCTTTAATGAGATTAATTGATTCAGTGACTGGGGCAGGTGTGTCAGAGACAATAAGGATGGCACAGAATAGATCAGGTTTCTGTGCTATTTTACATAGGATCACTATGAGTCACAAGTAACTCGACAGCAGATAACAACATTACCATATTACTTTAAGTGAAAAAATGAAAGATAATTTGAAAAGGCCATGTGGAAAGCTAAGAAAACGCAGAACTGGCTTCCTCTGAAAGTGGCAATTTCTACCTATTTGATACCTAAACATGTACCTAACACTCATGACACTCCTTTATTTCACCTGCCTGGTCCTTTACATTTCTCAGTGTCAATCCCCTCATCTGCTATAAGCGGGCTGTGTGGTGAGACAGCCAAGCCAAGCTTCCCGCTGTCTGGGAACTCACTCTGTGCAGAGGGAGACAAACAACTGGCACATATGTATTGTGTCACATTCTCTAACAGGTACTGTGGGAACTGAGAGGCAGCAGCCCTGGATAAATGGGGAAACAACTGAGAAGGGATGACCTTGAGGCTGACCTTTAAAAAGGTCCATACTGGGTTGTAGTCTGGTGTGGTGTGGTCTGCAGGCTGTTGAACTAATGAAAAGGCTCCACGTTTTTGGTGATTCGAATCCATCAGTGGCTCCACAAAGGAGCAACGGGCAATCTCCTGTCTTTACAATTTATACTCTTGGAAAACCTGCCGGAGGACTGCTGAGTCGGAAGAGATTCCAGGGCAGTGAGGTCAAGCGCTCGCTACTGAATTCTAACCGAAAGAATACAACAGATATGCTGTTGTTATTATTGTTGTTGTTGTGTGCCATCGAGTCACTTGCAACTCATAGTGACCCAATGTACAACAGCTCTGAATCCTGCTCTATCCTGAGCCAACGTCATTGTCTCTGACACACCTACCCCTACTACCCCAGTCACCGAGTGAGTGAATCCATCATATCTTTTAAGAGGGGTGTCAATTTTTTTTTTAAACGGACAAGAGGAATCAGAGAGGGGAATGAGTAAACTGCCACAACTTCCACGTCATTTTCTGGGCAGAAATGGAATACTGCCTTGGCATTAAATCAGAATTGCCCATCCTCCACAAAGAAGCTGGACACATTCCCATTATTCCAGGTTACTTGGGAAAGCGTCCAGGAAAGTCAAGGGTACTGATCCCTTTTTATACCAAAAAATGTAGGGTGTGCAGGGCACCACTGAGAGCAAATGACCAACTGTGTAGCTCAACCTTAACACCATTAGCACGCCTCTTGCATTTGCTGCTAACAGGACAAATGCCAAAGAAGGGGCAGGACGAGAGAGGAAGGAGGTTTGTCACTGAGAAACGTTAGATACCAAATTCTTCCTCATTAAGTAATAACAAACACTCAAAAAGCATCTCATTAGATGGGGACATTTTTAAGCACTCACCTCTCCAATCAAAGTCAAAGAGGAACTCTTGCCACTGAGCTGATTCTCAAGCTGAGTTGACTCGAGCTGAGCTCGGCGCCCCATCTTAGGCCCCTGTCAGGAGAGAGGGAGGATAGTGCTGACCCAACATGGCTTAAAGCACTGAGAGGAGGCAAATCTGGGGCCCAATGGAGGTGGCTGAGTCAGAACTGGCTCAATGGTAGTGAGTTTGGGCGCTTTCTGGTTGTTTTTAAGCAAGGACTAGGTTTATGATAAGCTGGTAGAGACTGATAGTTGAGTAACTGGCATATTCTTAGAAAATGTTTCAAGTCCTATAACGAAGCTGTTTGTTAAGTATAGAAATTCTATGATTTCATGATCCTAAAATTTAAACTAACGTGTTGCCACCACTGAGTTGGCTCTAATTTATGGTAACTTTACATATTACAGAATGTTGCCCAATCCAGTACCCTCTTCATTGTACATCTGAGCCCACTATTGTGGTCACAGCATGAATCCATTTCAGGTTCCCCATATTCCCACTGACCATCTACTTTATCAAGGTCAGGGTTGTTTTCTCGGGGTCAGTTCTTCCTGATGACATGCCCAAAGGAGGCAAGATGATGTTTCACCTCCCTTGTTCTAAGCAGAGTCGCAGACATCACCTGTCCCTGACGGTCTTTCTGTACTATCTTCTCTGTTGCTATGCTGCTAGAAGGTATGCCACTGGTATTTCAAATATTACCCATGATCGACAGGTTTCTGCAAAATTACCAGGCTGACTAACACAGACTAGGAAGAAAAGCCCTAGCTAATTACTTCGGAAGATTTCAACTCACTCATAGCCATCAAGTCAGAACTGACTCACAGCTGACCCTTCAGCGGGATTTCAGACACTGTCCATCTTCTGTCCTGTGGAACAGCTGGCGGATCTGATCAACTGCCTATGGGTTGACACCATGACTCTTTACCTACCAGACCCAACCTAAACTACCACATGGATTGCAAGAGCAAAATCCCTTTTCTACCTACAGGAACACAGCACCCTCTGGGATGGGCCGGTATTAAGCTGTACATAGTTAAGGCAGGCTTCGGGAAAGGCTCTCCTACTCATATACAGGACTGTAACAGTACTATGAAGAGTTGCCACAAACCATGGATTTTCGATTGCTTCATAGGTGACTGAAAATCCCATGGACTGCCTATCTCAGAGGAAGTGCAAGTAGGGTGCTCCTGAGAGACTAGGACCGAGTCATCTCACATACTCTGGACATGTTGCAGGAAGTGCCAGTTCCTGAGAAAAGACATCATGGTGGGAAAAATAAAAGGCCAGTGAAAGAGAGGAAGACCCTCAACAAGATGACTTGACACAATTAACTGCAATAACGAGCCTGGGTATGGCAGAGACGGCGAGGATGGCACAGGGCAGGCAAGGTTTCTGTTGTTCGTAAGGGTTATGAGTCATAATCAACCCAAGAACACCTAAGGATAGCAACAGGTGCCACTGAAGAAGCACTAGTAGTATATTAACATTATTGTGGTGGTGTTGTGTACCACTGAGTCAGAACCAACCCATAACTGACCCTCCAGCAGCAGTTAATTGCATGGAAGACTTCCCATCCTTATCCTGGGAAACAGCTGGTGGTCTTAAACCATTTGCCTTCAGGACTGCAGTGCAGCTTCTTGCCACTAGGCCACCAGAGTCTGTTAACATACTGGGCTCCTAATACAAGGTTAGAGTGGAGTGCTCTAGTGGCATAGTCCGTAAAGTTCCATTACACACAAAGGCTGTGCTTTCTGGTGGTGTGAACTCACCAGCCACTCTTAGTGCAATTTAGTCTTGGAAACCCACTTATCAGCTATGAGTTGCCATCAACTTAGTAACAATGAGAGAGAATACAAGGTTAGAGTAGCAAACACTAGCTGTTGCTCTACAGGGAAAAGACAGGTAGTCTCTTCCTGTAAATAATTAATCTCAGAACCCGAGTGGAGGATCACACACATCAGAACTGCCTTGATGGAAGTGGGTTATTTTCTTTGCCACTGAGTCACCTTTGTCTCATACTGAGTCTATGTGCATCAAAGTAGAATTGCGCTTCATAAGGTTTTCAATGGCTGATTTTGGGAAGTAGATCCCAGGCCTTCCTTCTGAGGCACTCTGGGTAGGCAGACCTGAACCTTCAATCTGTAGGCTGTTGGCAGCAGGGTGCATTATCTGTGTTTACTGGAATAAATGATATGATGACTTGTATACAGGATTTTAGGAAGTTCCCATCTCAAGTTTTGAAATGTCCAGCTTTGAACTCTGGTGTTGAAGAAGAGTGCTGAAGATTCATCCATGGACTGTCATCAAAAGAATAGAAATGTCTTGGAAGAAGGTGCGGCCAGAACGCTCCTTGGAGGTCAAGATGATGAGGCTTCATCTCACATACTCTGGGTATGTTGCTAGGAGAGGTTATCCCTTGGAGAGTGTCATCATGCTCGGAAAGATGGAGGGGCAGAGAGTGGAAGACCTTCAACCAGACAGACTGACACAGTAACTGCAGCAAAGGACTTGAGGGTGCTGGAGGCTGTGAGGATGGCATGGGGACAAGACGGTGTTTCCATCAGTTGTTCACAGGGTCACTCTGGGTCGCACTCAACTCGATGGCACCTAACACCAATAATAACACTTTTAAGCTGTAGCTTTGCATAAAACGATCAAAAACATGTTTGGAAAACATTCTTAAACTCTACAGTAACAGCTGGACCAATTAAGCAACATCGTGATAAATGGAGAAACGAGCTGTCAAGGATTTCATTTTACTTGGATCAGCATCATGGAAGCAGCAGCCAAGGAATCAAATGATGTGGTGCACTCGGAAAACCTGCTGCAAAAGACTTCCTCAAAGTGTTCAAGAGCACGTGTCATAGTAAGGACAGAGATGACCCTGATCCAAGCCAAGGTATTTTCAGTCGGCTCACATGCACGTAAAAGCTGGACAAAGATCAGGAAGGCTGAAGAGCTGATGGTGCTGGACGTGAATTATGGCATTGGTGGGAACACTGAATATACCATGGGCTGCCAAAAAGACAAATCTGGCTTGAGGAAGTGTTGCCAGCATGTTCCTTGGAACTGAAGGCAAGACACATACTTCACATACTTCAGGAATACAATGTCAGGAGAGAATGGTCCCTCGAGAAAGACCTTGCATTTGGTAGAGGGTCAGAGAAGAGGAAAATCTTTATCAAGATGAACTCATACAGTGGTTTCAATAATGGCTTCAGACACAGTGGCCAGTGTGTGGGGATGGCGTACAACCGGATAGTGTTTCATTCTATTTACAGAGTTGTTACAGGTGAGAATTAACCCAGTAGCACCTAACAATCTGGTAACAAGGCAGAGGAGGACAAAAAAGCAATTGTTTTGACTTATACATTAATCAAATTTGCATTTACAGTCAGTAAGGAAAATTTTCAATAGTTCATTTTTGGCAATCAAAACAATTCTGACTGTACGATGTGCAGGTTTCTCAAAGCCCTGGACAGGCTAGGAGTAGAAGTAGGGGGTACAACTGGTATCTCAACTTCCCAACACCAACAAAGTATTTGGGCAGACCAATGGGTATGGTTTATAGTTTTATTTGCATTTTAGAGCAGGAATTAATGGCTCTTTGACTTAATGAATATAGACTCGTTTATCTTCACCGTAGCAGGGAATAGGGCTGTCACCATTTTAAAACTGAGGAAGGTAATCAATGGCAGAGAAAAATCTTGGATTCTGTCTACTGTTCCATGCTTTAAGTTTCACAGTCTGAAGAATTGATTCTATCAGTAAACTAAAAGGAGTAACAAAGATGTGTGAAAACTATAAACCAGTGTTTGCACTTCATGTCCTGTCAGCCACTTTGGTTTCAGGGATTTTTGGAAACATCTTTCCAATAACAAATGGTTCAATTTATTTATTTATTTATTTATTTATTTTTACCAAAACACCCAATTCTGCCTCCTTCACCCAACTGCCCTCCTCCTCTGTCACAGCATCTGGTATCTGTGATCAAATACTACTATGGTGGTGGAGCAAAACCAAAATGTCAATGATCTTGCATCTCCAAGGTCACTGTAAATCAGAACTGATTTGATGGCAGTGCATTTTGCTTCTGAGTGGCTTCCATTAAGTGTTTTTTAAAAGTTTAAATTTTTTTTGAAGGGCACTATAAATCCACAGGGATGATCTAGTTTAAAAAATGACTTTATCACTTGGTTTTACATGTTAAATAGTCTGTTTAAGTCCCATGGAGGCAGGGACTTTGTTTTATCCACTGCCTTATTCCCACCACCTAGGACTATATCCAATACCCAGCCGACCTGGTGGGGTATTCTGTACAGAACTGTGCTAACTCGAAAACTGTGCCATCTCTGGCAGTTTGAAACCACCAGCAGCTCCTCGGGAGAAAGAGAAGAAAATTCCTCTCATTTGATTTACAGCCTTGGAAAACTGCTAGGGGATTAGCTACAAGTCAGATAGATTTCAACAGCAACGAGAGATCCCATCCAGTACATGTCTGTCTACTAACATGTTCACGTATCAGAAAGACGTGGTGACTTAATTATTTGTGATCTGTGGAGAAACTTGTTCTCTGGGCAATTCTCTCTAGTCCTTCAAAGCTACCTGGGAGATGTGCAACTTTCAAGCAGCTTGGAAGACATCCGAAGGTATCAATTTCAAAGGCCTGTAACTTAACCTTCTAGTGAATACAATTTTGACTAATTTAAAAAGTAAAAAGGTCTGATTCTTCTCCCTCCGAGTAGGATGGTGGTAGGAAGACAATGAACTGGGGGGGGGGGGTGTCTCTAATGTAAACCAAACATCAAACCCTTTGTTACTGTGTTGTCTTGTTGTTAGATTCTGACTCAGGGGCGACCCTGCAGGTAGAGCTGAAATACTGCACAGGGTTCCCTAGGCTGTAAATCTCTAAAGAAGCCGAACAGCTGAGCATTTAACCACTGTGCCACCAGGGCACACAACTCCTGTCCCCTTAAAATCTAACCCCATCATGTAAGAACTCTGGATTACCAGCAGCTCAGCCTTCCACGTATCTAAATTCCCGGTCAGAATGTGTATCCTATTTATTACCACGCAGGTAGCTCTGGTGGCCTAGCTGTGCTGCCAACTCAAAGGCATGCTGTTCGAATCCACCAGCTGCTCCGCAAAAAAAAATAGAGAGATGGACAACATCCACTCCCGCGATCTGCTGTCTCTGAGAGTCCACTACAGAGTCAGCTATGGATTCCAACTCCACCTGGACGACCCTGGCAACAACACAGACCACGCACTGCTAACTGCCTGCCTTCCATGCATGATCCCATTTCATCTTCCCGCAAGGCCTGAAGTAGACAGCAGCATCCCCTGTCTGCAGGGCAGGTAACTGACTCCCAGAAGCTGGCAGCCTCTCTAATTTCCCGATCTCCCAGCCTCAAGCCCTCTCAACTCGCCTAACTCTGTGGCTACAAATCTCTCGATTTTTCCCTACAAAGTGGAGAGAATGCCCACCTCCCCGTTGAGGTTATGGGTAAAAGGACGATCCAAGCTGGCTGCCTTTCTAGCTCCAATACAACAGTTAGGGGAAAGGTCTAGGACGAGGACAGGCGCGACAAAGGCCACCGTCACTCTTTTAACAAGTCCGTCCAGGGGCTCCAGAAACCCACAGGCTGGGAAGAGCGTGCTGGCCCGGGAGCCGCCGGAAGGAGGGCCGGTTTTGCACGTTTTATAGGGTTTTTAGGGCGCGAAGCCCACGCCGGTCGCGCCGGCGCCCCCAAGCGCGGGGGCGGGACGCTGCAGCGCCTCGTCCGCGGCTCAGTCCCGCCGAGGCCCGGCCCGCCTGCTGCGGCCGCCCAGGGGGAAAAAAGCCGTGGCCGACGCGGTGGCTCCTCCCCACCCGCCAGATCCAGGCCCCGAGCCCTGCGCGTCGCCCTCACGGAGGTGCCCGAGCCACGACGCCGCTCCTCGCCCAGGTCCAGCACGTCCTCCATCACCACCGCCTCCCGTCACTTCCGGTCACAGGCGCCGCCGCTCGGCTTCTCGGAGAAGAGCTCCGCCCCCACAGCCCGCTATTTAAAGGGGCCGCCGCATAATTACGGAGTTGTTCTGTTTAAAACAAATCATCCTAACGGTGGACTGTCAAAAAGAACAAACAACTCTGTCTTGGAAAGAGTGCAACCAGAGTGCTTGGTAGAGATAAGACTCCGTCTCATATGCTTTGGGCATTTTGTCAAGAGAGAATAAGTCCTTGGTAAAAGACATCTTGTTGAAAGGTAGAGGGTCCTAGGAAGAGAGAAAGACCCTCATTGAGAGGGATTGACAACAATGACGGCAACAAAAAGTGATTGCAACAATGAGTTTAAGCACAGCGGAGATTATGAGGGTGACGATGTATTGGGCAGAGTTTCAATTTATTGGTTACAGGGTTGCTATGAGTCAATTGACTAGCAGCTCCTTTGATGAATCCTCCAGATAAGATAGTCAAGCTCACTATCTAACCCTAACCCTATACATCCTTATAAATGTTAGGCTTTAGAAACTATAAGGTTTCAATATGTCAATAACTACAACATACAGGTCAGTTTGAATATACCAGTTATTAAGTGCAAATCACAGGTACTGTTGCTGTTAGGTGCCAGCCACACAGCGACTCCATGAGCAATGAATGGATGTGAATTTTGCCCTGTCCTCTGCCACCCTCATCTCTGAGCCAGTTATTGTCACTGAGACAATCCATCTTATCAATGGGATTTCTCTTTGCCTGACCCTCCACGTTTTCAAGCATGATGTCTTTCTCAGTTATTGTTGTTGTTGCTATGTGCCATCGAGTCGTTTGCGACTCATAGAGACCCTATGTACAACAGCCCTAAACTCTGCTCTATCCTGTGCCAATCGAATGGCCTCTGACACATCCATTCTGATTACCCCAGTTACTGAATCAATCCACCTCATAGAGGGTCTTCCCGTCCTGCGCTGTCCCTCCACCTTACCAAGCATGATGTCTCTCTCCAAGGACATGTCTCTCCTTACAACATGTCCAAAATATGTCAGACGAAGCCCCAGAATCCTTGCCTCCAAGGAGTAGCCTGATTTAACCCTCTCCAGGATGAATCTTCATGTTTTCTTGGCAGTCCATGGTACATTCAATACTTTTCTCCAGCACCACAGCTCAAAGGCATCAATTCTCCTTCTATCTTCCCTAGTCATTGTCCAACTCTCTGATGCATAACAAGTGATTGCAAAGACCATGGCCTGTATCAGGTGCACCTTAGTCTCCAGAGAGACACCGTTGCTCTTGAGTACTTTAGAGAGGTCCCTAACAGCAGACTTTCCCATCGCGATGCGTTTTTTTAATTTCCTGGCTGCTAATACCAAGAGTGTTGACCGTGGAGCCGAGCAAACTGAAGCTGTGAACAATCTCAATCTCTTCACCATCCATCCTGATGCTACCGATTGGTCCAGTGGTGAGAATCTTTGTCTTCTTGACATTGAGCCTCAGTCCATACTGAAGGCTGCAGTCCTTGACCCTCTGCAGCAAGTGCATGAGGTCCTCCTCAGTTTCGGCAAGCAGGTTTGTGTCATCTGCATATCGCAGATTGTTAATAGATCTTCCACCAATCCTGACACCACACTTCTCCTCATAGAGTCCAGCCTCTTGGATAATCTGCTCTGCATACAGGTTGAAAAGGTATGGAGATAGGACACATCCCTGGCGTACACCCTTCCCAATTTTGAACCATGCGGTGTTACCTTGCTCTGTTCTAATGACTGCCTCTTGGTCCAAGTATAGGTTTCGCATACATGTCCAAAATACGTGGAACAAAGCTTCACCATCCATGACTACAAGGAGTACACTGACTAATTTTCTCTAATACAGATTTGTTTGTTGTTCTCTTGGCAGTCCGTGGACAGTCAGTACTCTTCTCCAATACATCTCAAAGGCATCATTCTTCTTTCATCTAAGATGCAAATCACTACTAATAGTAATCATTATCATGACCTCTTCCATTTATCTGTGGTATATGATAGAGAACCATGCATAGCTGACGCTTTAGCTGGTTTTCAGAAGCTATAAAATAGCATGGGAGAAGGTTGCTCATGCTTCTTCTCCCACAGAACCACCGAAGGACGTGAACTGTGTGCCTTTTAGTTGGCAGCACAACTCCTTACCACTAGGCCTCTAGAGTTCCTTCCTTTTTATTTATCTTTTTGCAATGCACAAGGGATCCTCACAGTTAGCTCAAGGATGATGCAAAATTCGGTAAGGTTTTAGCTCTGTTGTGAGTAGGGTCATTATGAGTCAGAATTAACACTGCCCAACAAACTGTGGCTAACCTTGAGAAAAATGGGAATCCCAGAACACTTGATTGTGCTTATGTGAAACCTATACTTGGACCAGGAAACAGTCCTCAGAACAGAGCAGGGAAACACTGCATGGTTCAAAATCAGGAAAGGAGTGTGTCAGGGATGCATCCTGTCTCCATACCTTTTCAATTTATGTGCAGAATTTGCTATGCATCAGAGAGCTGGAAAATGACTAGAGAGGACAGAAGGAGAATTGATGCCATTGAGCCGTGGTGCATGGACTGCTAAGAAAATGAACAGGTTCATCCTGGAGAGGGTTAAACCAGGCTGCTCCTTGGTAGCAAGAATTTTGAGGCTTCGTCTGACATATTTTGGACATGTTGTAAGGAGGGACCAGTCCTTGGGAAAGGATGTCATGCTTTGGAGGGTGGAGGGACAGCACAGGAGGGAAGACCCTCTTTGAAGTGGATTGATTCAGTGACTGTGATAATCGGGGTGGGTGTGTTTGAGACCGTGAGATTGGCACAGGACAGAGCAGGGTTTAGGGCTGTTGTATATAGGGTCGCTATGAGTTGTAGGCAACTCAATGGCACATAACAACAACAAACAACAACAACATGCAGAGCAGATTATTCGGGAAGCTAGGCTCTATGAGGAGGAATGTGACATCAGGATTGGAGGAAGACTTGTTAACAACCTACATTATGTAGATGATACAACCTTGCTTGCTGAAACTGAAGAAAACCTGAAGCACCTGCTGCAGAAGGTCAAGGACTATAGTCTTCAATATGGATTGAAGCTCAACATTAAGAAGACAAAGATTCTCACTACTGGACCAATTGGTAGCGTCATGATAGAGGGAGAAGAGATTGAAGTTGTTAACAATTGCAACTTGCTCAGCTCCACAATCAACACTCTTAGCTCTAGTAGTCAAGAAATCAAAAGACAAATTGTATTGGGAAAATCTGCTGTCAGGGATCTCTCCAGAGTGCTGAAAAGCAATGATGTCAGTCTAGAGACTAAAGTGAGCCTAATTCAGGTCATGGACTTCGTAATTACTTGCTATGCATCAGAAAGCGGACAATGACTAAGGATGACAGAAAAATAGATGCCTTTGTGTTATTGTGCTAGAGAAGAGTATTAACCACCATGGACTTCCAAGATTAGGTCTGTCTTGGAAAGGGTGAAACCAAGTCTCTCCTTGGAGGCTAGGATTTTGAAGCTCCATCTCACATACTTTGGGCACACGGTCAGAAGGGGCTCATCCTTGGAGAAGGATAACATGCTTGAAAGGGTGGAGGGACAGCGCAAGAGAGGAAGATCCTGGATGAGATGGATTGATACAGTAACTGGGGCAATGGGGATTGATGTGTTGGAATTAGTGACACTGGCTCAGGAAAGGGCAGTGTTCAGAGCTGCTGTACATAGGGTCACTATGGGTCGTAGGCAACTCAAGGGCACAAAAAACAACAACAAAGATAGCAAGGAGCTTAACAACCTTGTGTGAGAATTAAGATATGTCCTATTATCTCCCTTTAATAGATGAGAAAGCAGACCAGAGAGGATCAGAGATGTATCCATAATACACAGCTAATAAATTAGGAAGTTATACAAAATCTCTGCTTTCAAGAAGTTTATAGAAAGGCTAAACCAATACATCAAAGAACTGAATAGTAATAACTTTCCAAAGAGCAAAGATCTACTCTATATAATCCCACTAAGACTGTTTGAAATAGTATGAGAACTAAAATCTCATGGCCGTTAAATCAGAACTTAATCCGCGGAAATTCCAGCAAGATTTTTGATACTGTAAATCATGTGGGATATGATTACCCATCTTTTTTCTATAGAACCAGAAATAACACTAATATTTCTGTTTAAAGATTGAGGACATTGAGATGCAGAGAGGGCAAGGCCCTGTGGAAAATAGTTGAGTGCCAAGCAGCACAGTCTATTACCTTTATGAGGCCAATTTTACTAGGATACTTTTCTCCTTGGCATCCGATATTCTCCTAAACTGGCGGAGAGTTCTAGTCTCTGGAGTCATTGTCTCCATCTAAGAGTCTTCACGTAAGACCCCCATGTTGATGCACCCACAGAAGATGAATTCAGGTCTCTGCAAGTGAGCAGTATTTCCATCATCACACTGTGAATAAAACCACTCATGAGTATAGAGTTTATCTTTCAAAATTACTTTCCTAGCCATTGAGTTTGACTTAGCCATATGGACGGGCCAGAATGTGTGAATAGGACATGTTAACATATCAACAGAATTGGCTAGTCTCACCAGTCCACAAGGGGACTGACTCGTTTTACCAATCCACAAGGAGATTGGCCATTCACCCCATTATATTGAGTGGATTCTGCAGTAGAATTAGAAGCTCTTTCCTGTCAGCAATGAAGAAACAAAAGAAAGAATCACATCATTCTTTGGGCCCAGAAATTCTTGTTCCAGCTAGACCTGTGGCAGCCGCTGCCATGGCAGAAGCAGAGAGCCCACATGAGACGGAGGTGACTGCTACACTCCACGACACAACACCCCATGGACAGAACCAGAGCTTAGCTAAGAGCCTTTGTGTAAGTTTGCTGGACAACTGGGAGGGAGGGTTTGGGAAAGGGAGAGCCAAGGTTGGCAGGACTGAGAACTTTGTAACACTGGCCTAAAGCCTCGATGCTCAAGGATGAG